AATTTCTTCCTTAAATATTTGGTAGAATTCACCAGTAAAACTGTCTGGGCCTGGTACTTTTTTTTCTTAGAAGGTTGTTAATTGATTCATTTTCTTTAATACACCTATTCAGATTAGTTATTTTTCCTTGTGTGAGTTTTAGTTGATTGTTTTTTGTTTTTTTCAAGGAACTGGTCCATTTCCTCAAAGTTACCCAATCTTTGGGTTTAGAATTATTCCTAATATTCCTCTCTGTTCCTTTTATTATTGTCTATGGGAGCAGTAGTAAAGGCCCCTTTTGCATTTTTGACATTAGTGATTTGTGTCCTCTCTTTTCTGATTAGCCTGGCTACAAGTTTATTAATTTTATTACTCTTCAAAGAACGAGCTTTTTATTTCATTGATTTTTCCTCTGTCATTTTCCTGTTTTAAATTTCATGGATTTCTGCTCTAATTTTTATAATTTATTGTCTTCTTCTTGCTTTGTATTATTTTACTTATTATTGCCTTATTATTATATTATTGTATTGCTATTTATTATTTATTTGCTTCTGCTTGCTCATCTTTTTTCTAGTTCCTAAAGGTAAAGTTTAAGTTTTTTATTTCAGGTCTTTCTTCTTTTCTAAAATATGCACTCTTAGGGCACCTGGGTGGCTCAGTTGGGTAAGCTGCAGACTCTTGATTTTGGCTCAGATCATGATATCAGGGACAGGAGATTGAGCCCCACATCAGGGTCCATGCTCATCAGGGAGTCTGCTTGAAGATTCCTCTACCTTTCCCCCCACCCTCACTCTTGTTCTCTCTCTCTCAAATAAATAAATATTTAAGGAAAAGCAAAGGGAGGGGGCACCTGGGTGGCTCAGTCGGTTGGGCGCCTGCCTTCGGCTTGGGTCATGATTCCAGGGCCCTGGAATCGAGCCCTGCATTGAGCTCCCTGCTGGGCGGGGAGCCTGCTTCTCCTTCTTCCTCTGCCTGCTGCTCTGCCTACTTGTGCTCTCTCTCTCTCAAATAAATAAATAAAATCTTTAAAAAAAAATAACAAAGGGTGTGTCTGGGTAGCAGTCAGTTAAGTGTCTGATTCTTGGTTTGGGCTCAGGTAATGAATCTCAGGATCCTGAGATAGAACCCTGTGTTGGACTCCACATTCAGTGCAGAGTCTGCTTAAGACTCTCACCCTCTGCCTCTCCCCCCAAAAATTAAACAAATAAATCTCTTTTTAGATTTTGTTTATTTATTTGAGTGGGGAGAGGCATGAGAGCGGAGAAGATCAGAGGGAGAAGCAGACTCTCTGCTCAGGAGCCCAATGCAGGACTCAGTCATAGGACTCCAGTATCATGACCTGAGCCAAAGGCTGGCACTTAACCAACTGAGCCACCCAGGTGCCCCAATAAATAAATCTTTTTAAAAATAGTAGGAGTAAAATAAAATAGAGTCTCTGCTATAAATTTCCTTCTAAGCACTGTTTCCACTGCATCCCACAAATTTTTATACATTACATTTTTGTTTTTATTTAATTAAATATTTTTACAATTCTCTTGTGACTTTTTCTTTGACCAAATATTGTTTAGAAGTGTGTGCTTCTATCTCCATTTGGAAGGTTTTCAGGTATATTTCTGTTATTGTTGTCTATCGAACATTCAAGATTCAATGTTGTGGGCTTAAAGCATACTTTGTATGTTTTTTATCCTTTTAAATTTGTTAGAGTATGTTTTAAGACCCAGAATGTGATCTTAGTGAATATTCTGTGTGATCTTGAGAAGAATGTGTATTCTGCTATTGTTATATGAAGTATCTTATAAATATCAACCAAATTCAAATGAATAGATAGTACTGTTCGTTTGAGTAATTTGTTAACTGATTTTCTGCCTGCTGGATCTGTCGGTTACTGATAGAGGTAAATTGAAATCTCCACTTTTGGTTGTGGAGTTGTATAGTGCTCCTTGTGGTTCTATCAGGTTTTGCCACATGTGATTTGATGCTTATTTATTAGGCATGTACATTAAGGATTGCTATGTCTTCTTGGAAAGTTGACCCTTTTATCATTATGTAATGTTCCTCTTTATTCTTAATACTTTTACTTACTATGGTGTCCACTTTGTCTGAAATTAATATAGCTACTCCAATTTTCTCTTAATTAGAGTTAGCATGGCATGTAGGCATATGCTGGAGAGTTGCAAGTTTGGTTCCAGACCACCACAATAAATTTAATATTGCAATAAAGCAAATCAAATGAATTTTTTCATTTCCCAGTACATGTAAAAGTTGTTGACAACCTATTGTAGCCTGTTAAGTGTCCAATAACAGCATTGTATCTAAGAAAAACAATATATATACCCTAATGGAAAAAATACTTCATTGTTACAAAATGCTAACCATCATCTGAGCTTTCAGCAAGTCATAATTTTTTTTTTTTGCAAATGGAGGGTTTTGCCTCAATGCTAATGGTTCCTAACTGTTCTGGGTGGTGGTTGCTGGAGGTTGAGGTGGCTGTGGCAACTTTAAGACAATGAAGTTTGCTACATCGGTTGACTCTTCCTTTTATGAACAATTTCTCTGTAGCAATGCCGTTTGCCAACATTTATACACAACACTTCTTTCAAAATTGAAGTCAGTCCTCTCAAAACATGCCACTGTTTTATCAGCTAAGTTTATGTAGTATTCTAAATCCTTTATTGTCTTTTTTTTTTATTTTTTTAAGAGATTTTATTTATTTATTCGACAGAGATCACAAGTAGGCAGAGATCACAAGAGAGGCGGGGAGAGAGAGAGAGGAAGGGAAGCAGGCTCCCCGCAGAGCAGAGAGCCCGATGCAGGGCTCGATCCCAGGACCCTGGGATCATGACCTGAGCCGTAGGCAGAGGCTTCAACCCACTGAGCCACCCAGGCGCCCCCTTTATTGTCTTTTCAACAACGTTTACAGCATCTTCTCTGGGAGTTGATTCCATTTCAAGAAACCACTTTCTCTGCTCCTCCATGAGAAACAACTTCTCATCCATTCAGGTTTTCTCATGAGATTGCAGCAATTCAGGCACATCTTCAGGCTTCACTTCTAATTCTAGGTCTCTTGTTGTTTCCACCACATCTGCAGTTACTCCCTCCACTGAAGTCATGAACCGCTCAAAGTCATCCATGAGGGTTGGAATCTACTTCTTCCAAACTCCTGTTCATGTTGCTGTTTTGACCCTGTGAATCTTGTATGTTCCTGGTGACATATAGATGATGAATCCTTTTCAGAAAGTTTTCCATTTACTTTGTACAGATCCGTCCCAGAAATCACTATGTATGGCAGCTATAGCCTTACAAAATGTATTTCTTTAATAATAAGACTTGAAAGTCAAAACTACTCTTGATCCATGGCCTGCAGAACAGATGTTATGTTAGCAGGCATGAAAGCAACATTAATTTCATACATCCGGATCAGAGCTCTTGGGTAACCAGGGGTATTGGCAATGAGCAGTAATTTTTTTTAAAGGTTTTTATTTATTTGACACAGAGATAGAGATCACAAGTAGGCAGAGCAGCATGCAGAGGGATAGGGAGAAGCAGGCTTTCCGCTGAGCAGGGAGCCCGATGTAGGGCTCAATCGCAGGACCCTGGGAACATGACCTGAGCCAAAGGCAGCTACTTAACTGACTGAGCCACCCAGGTGCCCTTGAACAGTAATATTTTTTTTTTTTTTCCAAAGGAACAGTAATATTTTTAAAGGAATCTTTTTCAGAGCAGTGGGTCTCAACAGTGAGCTTGAAATACTTAAAATATTTAGTAAACTACGCTATAAGCAGATATGCTCTCATCTAGGCTTTATTGTTCCACTCATACAGGGTAAGGCAGAGTAGATTGAGCATACTTCTTAAGACCCTAGGATTCGGGGGTGGTAGATGAGCGTTGGCTTCCACTTAAAGTCACTAGCTGCATTGGCCCCTAACAAGAGAGTTAGCCTGTTCTTTGAAGCCAGGCATTGACTTCTCTCCAACTGTGAAAATCCTAAATAGCTTCTACTTTTTAAAACAAGGCTATTTCATGTGTATTGAAAATCTGCTGTTTAGTGTAGCCGCCTTCACTAATTATCTTAGCTAGATCTTCTCGACAACTTCCTGCAGCTTCCACATTAGCACTTGAAGCTTCTCCTTGCCTTTTAGTTATGAAACCAGCTTCTTTCCTTCAGACTCATGAACCACCCTATGCTAGCTTCAAACTAGTTATTCTACTCCTGTTATACCAGAGCCATGTTGAACTGGTGGTGAGGTTTCAGGGAGGAGAAGCATTCTGTTATCACGTGATAAATCTTTTTTAGTTGTTTTGGGCTAGTGACCCTGGGCTATGACCTTCCGAAGAATTCTGTAGTCTGTGTAGGGTGGGGGTGAGGATGGGGGGGCGCTAGGCTATAGTTGGTTAATTTCCCTGCCGCTAAGTCACCTGGGGTCTAGTAAAGTAGTTTCGCTTGAAGGCAGGCTTTTGTTAAGGAGAAGGGAACTCTGACTGTATTTCAATGGTTCTTTTTCCCCTCCACTAGCCCAAAGCACTGAGGGGATTTTTTTCATCCCTGATCTTCACCTGTGAAAGCCTGTTAGAGCTCCTGGAGGTAAAACCAACATAAGTGTGGGGACCCTCCTGCCACCAGACCCCCAAGAGTTTTGATTTACAAGCCAGCCCACACTCAGCCTCCAGCAGTGTACGAGTTACTTTAAGTCTTCCTTCCAGTTAGGGCTCCAGGGCCTTAGCTCCAGGTGCGTTCCGACTTTCTGTCTTCACCTGGCATCTCCAGTTTCCAGGGTGGTAGTTTGCCTTGTGACCTTACTTCTCTGATGAATCCAGGAAAAGTTGTTGATTTTCACTTTTTCATCTTTCCTCGTTAAGAATGAGAGTAATGACTTCCAAGCTCTTCGCATGTTGGGGCAGAAACAAGAAGTCCTTTTTTACTATTTTTATTTATTAATTTTTGGTGATGAATATGGATTTTATTAATTATTATAAACTTAGTAGTCATATTGAGTAGACCATGGATGTCTGTGTTTGTGCAGATTGAAAGAGCATAACCTTGTGAAGGAGCTAAGGCCGCGGGACCTCCTGGAGAGCAGCAGTGACAGCGACGAAAAGGTCCCTGTGGCTAAGCCCTCCTCGCTGTCCAAGCGAAAACTGGAGCTTGAGGTGGAAACAGTGGAAAAGAAGAAAAAAGGGCGGCCTCGGAAGGACTCTCGGCTCATGCCTGTGTCTCTGTCTGTCCAGGTGAGGCCAGTGGGCCCATGCAGTCTCCACCAGCCCACCTTGTGAGCTCAGTGCTGGAATCTGCACGTGCCCGAGTGTGATAGGAGAAGTGGTGCATGCCACTGTGTGCCTCATCAGTGTGGGAACAATCGGCAGAAACTTGCAGGCCCCCACATCTGCCCTCAGCCCACTCAGAGTCCTTGACCAGTTCCCTGGGGTCAGCTACTCATCTGGAAAGTGGGGGTCTTTATAACATTCATCTGCACTTTCACCCTCACAGAGTAGGTGGAAATGCCTGGGGAACTGGCCTGGCCTCACCACTGGGTGACTCACCTTTACCTGACTTTGCCCTACGGTGCTGGGGCGGGGCTCAGAGACATTTCTCCTCTTGCAGTCCCCAGCTGCCCTGACTGCAGAGAAGGACGCCGTGTGTTTGTCTGTACCAGCACCTGCACTGAAACTACCCATGCCAGGCCCCCAGAGAGCATTCACCCTCCAGGTGAGCAGGCTTCCCACCTCTGCACACTCTCTCCACCATCCCCCTCTGTAAAACCTGAATTATCACTGACTTAGGTCTGCTTTTCAATGGCTCTCCATCACTTTCTGAGGGAACTTGTAGTTAATCAGAGCCAGATCAACTAGCCTCTTCCCCAGGAACTCTCTTGCTGCCCCCACCTCGAATTTCTCTCCTCTATGCTTTGCTCTTACAGTCCTGCTGCCATCTTCTGGATGGCCAGCTCCTTCAAAACTTGTCTCAGGTATTCTTCTGGAAGCCTCCTTGAGCTCCACACTCCACCCTGGGCAGCCTTGGGCTTGGTATGGTTGGACTGCATGGTAATGGCCTACCTCCCCATCATCCTCCCTTGCTGGCCCTGTCCCTGTCATCATCAGAGCTATTTGAGTTCTTGAAGTAGAAGCTTATGACTGTGTGCTTGTTCAAAACACACCTCTAAAACAAAGAATCCTTTATGCCCAGAAGCCTTCCATTCATTCCATCTAGCACCTGACCTTAGACATGCCATAGGTTCATGCCTATTATTCCTCAGCTCAGGTGCATGTCCTCAGAACACCTTCTAGGACCCCACATGGAGGTCACTTTCCACTGGTCACAACTGCCCCATGCATGCTGGTCTTCCTGGGACACATGAGAGCTGATGTCAGCCCTTCTCACTACAGGCCTTCTGGGCCTAAGGATAGGGACCCACGTGGTTTGTTCCTGTTGCTGTTGTGCATGGAGATAGGGCACACAAACCCCCTTCCAAACCCTAGCCACCGCCCCCCCAACCCCCATCCAGGGCCTTTACCACTGAGTGCTGCATGGGGCTATTCTTGGTTTCCGGGGGTCTATAAACGGGCCTTTCTCCCAGTCACCCACTTTTGTGCCCACATGAGTACAAACTATTCAGCCGTTCTGCCTGGGTTTTCCATATAGGGGTATCTAGTCCATGAGCTCCTTGGGCATGAGAGATGAGACCAAGCAAGCTCCCAGCCCTCTCCCTGCCCTGGGGGCCACACATCCAAATATCTGGCCTTCTCGTCCCACCCTGTTACTGCACACACTGCCACCCTCCTGTTTACCAGCCAGTTCTGTCTGCCTCTCTGTCTTTCTCCTACTTTGGGCCCTCTGATGATCTCACCTGTCACATGACCCAAGTTCAGTGGGCCACCATCACCTGAAAAGACATTGTGTTTGCTTTCCTCCACCCAGGTGAGCTCCGATCCCTCCATGTACATTGAAGTGGAGAATGAAGTGACTGCCGTGGGGGGTGTGAAGCTAAGTCGTTTGAAGTGTAACCGGGAAGGGAAGGAGTGGGAGACAGTACTCACCAGCCGGATCCTCACCGCTGCCGGCAGTTGGTAAGGGCAAGGGTCTACACCCAAACCGGCTTTTAATGTCAGACAAGCACCATGTGCTATGCTGTGTGGCCCTGTTACTGCCTGAGGCAGGAGGCATTGCCCTACATGCTAGCTCCCACAGAGGCCTGTGCCATGCCTTGCCCTAGGCTAAGCGTGTACATGTCTTCTCAGCCCCCACAAAACCTAATAAAGTCAGTATCATTATCACCATGTTATAGGTGGGGAAACGGTCTTTGAGGGTCAACCAAGGCAGGATTTCTACCCAGATGTTCTGATTCCCTTATCTGGCCATATTCCTAAAGTCTCATGTTCCAGGCTGAGCTCTGCCTGGCTCTCTCTAACATGGGATGATTCTTTCTCTGGACCCCAGATTTTCTTCTAGAGAAGTCACGATGGATTTCTGATTGTCCTGTGAGTCCGCAGCCAAGCCCTCTCCATATTCTGCACTTTGAGGGGAACCTTAACTCAGTGGTTAGTCCCCTAATGTCTTCCCATGGACTTCCAGGCCATGATGCCCTAACGCTGTTTCACATGTGCTTGATCTGGAAAGAGGACCAGCATTTTCCTCAGGTGCCTGTCGAGGTGTAGGGCCTCTAGTCAGAACCCTGTCTTTAGCTCTTAAAGGGATTTTACAAAGATAATTGGCTTAGATATAGTAACTTTAACTAGGCCCTTAGTTAGTTATCATAAGGCTGCACGTACAATGCTTTCAAAATGTCTGTGAGTACTTGACCTTCGATCTTAGGTCAGGTTCCCAAGGACCCTGAGTGAGTGCATGGTGTTGCACTTAAAAGGAACCATAATTCTGTACCTCCTTTTCATTCTCTGCCAAGATAAGCAAACTGAGCTTCCTGATCCCAGGCACTCACAAAGGGCAAATGGGCCTGTGTCCTGGGCGTTGCTGTGGGCTCCCCCTGGATTAGCATTAGTGTGAGCTCAGAAAAGCTCAAGCAGTCCCTGAAGGAAAGAGAACACATTCTTTTTAATCAGATGTTTCATTGAGACTAGGCTGCATCAGCCCTGCTGCCCCAGTCCTTGGACAAGGCCTCACCCACCTCTCCCTTTGCTGCACCTGCTCAGAGGAAGGCTGCAGCAGGCACGTGTCAAGCACAGACAGAGGGAAGGCTCTGCATTTCAGGGCTGCTGTCTCTGCCACAGCTCCCGATGATCATGACACCTGTCCCCTCTCTGCTTTTTCAGTGACGTGGTATGTGTTGCCTGTGAAAAGAGGATGCTGTCCGTGTTCTCCGCCTGTGGTCGCCGCCTCCTCCCTCCCATTCTCCTGCCGTCCCCAATCTCCACTTTGCACTGCACGGGCTCCTACGTCATGGCACTCACTGCTGCAGCCACGTTGTCTGTCTGGTGAGAGGCAGGCCCAAGGTGGGGTGGGCTCTAAGCAGGATGGGATGGGGCTGTGCAGGTCCCCTCTCACTGCAGGGTAGGGAAGGCAGCAAAGCCGGCTACTCGGCAAACATGTCTTGGGGTCCTGCTGGCCTGGGCATCTTAATGCCTGAGGAGCCCTGAACAGTCAGTCACACATTGCTTGTGATAGCCACCCCGCACTGGGGGAGGGAGAGTGTGCAATGGAAGTGGCGCAGGCTGCCTGCCCCTGCTGCCATCGTTAGAGCATCCTGAAACCTCACGACAAATCACAATGCCTAATTGCATGTGCCAGCGTCCAGAAAGGGGATCTCGGCTGCCAGAGCATGGCCACACTTCTCCCAAAGTTGGCATAGTGTTGGTGGCGGGCCCTACAGCTGTTTCCTAGGCCCTCTGCTATAGACTTGTGCAGAGGTAGCATAGTGACACATGGGGAGTAGAAACCACTTCCAGCACAGAGCCCCTCTCCTGGAAGCAAGGGCTGGGTATGTACCAGGGACCATGGAGTGGGGTCTGATCATTGGGGCACATTGTGATGCTTTTACCCCTGCTGCAGAGTAAGCTGTTCCCTGTCTCCCTCCTAGGGATGTTCACAGACAGGTGGTTGTGGTGAAAGAGGAATCTCTACACTCCATCTTGGCAGGTAACCTCAGCAGTGGACTGCCCCTTGTACGTTGGAGTTGCGGGAGGGCTTGGCAGCTTGGGTTCCTGACGTGGAAGCACCCTGTTCAGCCTAGATGGAGAGCCAAGCTCTGGGCCCAGCCTGAGGCAATTCGTGTTGTAGGGGATGTCAGTATGTTGTAGGGCAATGCATTCTCTCCAGGGACATATTTTAATGGGTCCCTGAGAGGTGATGAACAGCCTATGGATAGCAGCGAGACCAGCATGTGCAGAGTAGAGCAGTGACTGACTAGTTATGCGTAAGTGTTAAGACACCTGTTGCTAGGACTGTGGGAGCTGTGCTTTGCATTTCTCCTTAGGTGTGTATGCAGGCACCTGCTGATCAGAACACACCCAAGAACCCATTCTTGTGCTGTCTCCCCAGGAAGTGACATGACAGTGTCACAGATCTTGCTGACACAGCATGGAATCCCAGTGATGAATCTGTCTGATGGGAAGGCATACTGCTTTAATCCATCACTTTCTACATGGTAAGTAAGCCAGCTCCTGGCCCTACCCTTCTGGGAGAGTGTCCATCTGAGCTGGAACAAAAGAGTCAGGCCTGCCTGGCTCGGCTCCTGACAGTCAAGCCCTGGAGTGGGTGCCATGGTGGCAGCCCTGCTGGACTCTGTCCGCTAGAGAAGAGAGAGAGCTCAAACCTGCCAGTACAGGCCCCACTGTCCCTGTGGGCAGGGATGCTTTCCTTCTACATTGTTTCCTGACGTCACTTTGTTTGGAACAGGCATTTGAAAATTCTTATGGTTGTCAATACACATTTCCAGCCTCGCCTCCTTAGCCATTGTCAGCATAGGCGAGTCGACTTCATAACAACTTCACCATCATTCCTCACTTCTTGTAGCTTAGCAGGAGCTGAGTAGTACTTCTGGCTGACTTTGTGAATTAGTGAGGTTGCATAGTCACTCACTATATGTCATGGTCTGTGTCTTTCCTCAGCCCATTTTGGAGTTTAGAGGCCTTTTCTGTATTTGCAAAATCTTTATTCCTCCAAGATTTTAATCTAGATGTGTGAAATATGTATATTGTGTACCAGCCACTCAGAAATTCTTTTCTTCTGCCTGCACCTTTGGTCCATCATACCCAAACCAGCTGCCTTCCAGCCCTCTTCTGTTAAGAGTTGCCAGGCACAAGTTTATCCTCCCACTGAGATTTCTTTCTTGAGTTTAAAAAAGAAGGGTGGGGGGGATGGGGAGCCGCTGCCCCTGGCTGGTTCAGTCATTAAAGTAAGCAACTCTTGATCTTACAGTTTTAAGTTTGAGCCCTATGTTGGGTGTAGAGATTACTTAAAAATAAAATCTTAAGGGGTGCCCAGGTGGCTTAGTCGGTTAAATGGCTGCCTTCGGCTCAGGTCACCATCCTAGGGTCCTGGAATCGAGTCCCACATTGGGCTCCCTGCTCAGTGGAGAGCCTGCTTCTCCTTCTCCTCTGCCTGCCACTCTGCCTGCTTGAGTTCTCTCTCCATCAATTAAATAAATTCTTTAAAAACAAAATTAAAATAAAAAAAAATAAATAAAATTTAATCTTTAAAAAAAAAACCTCCCCATTCCCAGCTCTCCCAAGTTGCAAACTTGTGTATTTTATGTGATTACTATAATAGTGGAAACAGACTAGTTATTTAAGAAGGGAAACGTTGGCCCGGTATTTTACAAATTCACCCAACTATTTTTAAAGTGTGGCTGGAATGTTTTCAACAAAGATGTGAAAGGTCCCAAGAAGGTGAAAACTGTCTGCTTGGGATGCTAGAGAGGCCCGGGAAGGCTGGCACCTGGCATTCCTGGAGGCTTCCAAGGACCAGGCCGTATGGGCCCCCAGCAAGTGGGCATCCTGTGTACACTTCATACACAGGCTCCTGTCCTCAAGTTCTGAGACTATGGTGCTCAGGTGGTCCCAGCAAGAACCCTGTTGATGACCTTCACCGTCATTGATTTTGCCTCATGAAACCTGTCCCTGAGGGCCCTGTGGGGAGAATGCAGTGCTACTTGGCCTCTGCTGACACTCTGGCAGAGAGTCATGTGGTACCTGCTCCTTGGCGGCCTCACCCCCAGCCTTTCTGGTGGACCTCCTGGTTTTTCTGACCTCTGCTCCTGCTGTTGCCTCCCCAGGAACCTGGTTTCTGACAAGCAGGACTCCCTGGCCCAGTGTGCGGACTTCAGGAGCAGCCTGCCTCCCCAGGATGCCATGCTATGCTCCGGACCTTTAGCCATAGTCCAGGGCCGTGCCTCCACGTAGGTGACTCAAGTGCTGGGGGAGGTGGCTGGGTCATGCAAGCACAGTCCCACTCAGGCCTGCTCTCTGACTGCCCAGCCCTCTGTCTAACTGCTGCTTAGCACAAGTAGGCTCAAGGTGCCAAGGGTTGTGGGCCCACGTTGGGTAATATCTCAGGGTGCTAGGTCACAATTCCTGTCACTTCAGGGCATAGATGGCGGTCTGAGGTGCTATGAGTCATGGACACCGTGATGGGCAGTATTTGGGGTGGGGAGAAATGAGCTGCTGACCTGTCACCTTGGGCCTAGATAGGAAGGACAGGGTGGGATACACCTGGGGTGCTAGAGTGGCCAGGAGGCCTGTCACGGGACATGGGGACAGGTTAGCCAGCGTGGTGTCTGACACCTGCCCCTTTACTGGCTCCTCACTGGGGCCCAGGGGCTCGAGGTAGCAGCCTCCTGACCCATGCAGTACCCACTGCCTCATGATGCTTGCTCTGCCGGTCTCTGCAGTTCAGGAAGACAGGCAGCCCGGCTCTTCTCCGTGCCTCATGTAGTGCAGCAGGAGACCACCCTGGCCTACCTGGAGAATCAGGTTGCAGCGGCACTCACCCTGCAGTCCAGCCATGAGTACCGCCATTGGCTCCTCCTCTATGCTCGGTACCTTGTGAATGAAGGTGAGGTTTCTTGCGGCCCTTCCATCTTCCTGGGACTGGCTCAATTTCTGTCCCAACATGACCCTCCTGAAAGCCTATGAATCAAGGCAAAGACGGCCCTCGCCCCATCTCTTAGCCTGAGCTATAATCAAGGCAGCTCAGCAAGCATCCAGCCCATTTAGAGGCTCTGAGGCTCTGAATCAGGTAGGCCCTGAGGGCCGGAAGGTTTGGTGGTAGGAGGGGGTGGGGGCACGGGATGCTCAGATAGAGATTCTCCAAAGGAGCAGATGAGTTGCTCACACTCCTGCCCTCCCTCACACCCTGCATCCTCAGTGGTCAGCCAGTCACACCAGGGAAGGGCATCTTCTGGCAGCATCCATTGAGCCTGTATTTCTCTTCCCCAAGCCCCTCCTGGCCTGGAAGAGCCAGCCCATCCAGTGCCTTCCCATGGCCTTCCAGCCCAGCTTTCCCTGCCAGCACTTCCCCTCCCCAGTATATCCCCCACCACCTCCTCTTGCCCCTTTTGGCCAACAGAAAGCTAGGTTTGTTGAAAGAGGTGGCCATCCTGCTTTCAGGGCGACCTCCAATAAATAGCCTTTCATCTGTTTGCTAGGCATGTGTGGTGTTTTTCCTACCAGCCTTCCTCTTCCCTGAGCTTGGCCTCCAGGGTTGTGGCTTGGGAACCGGCCCTCCCAAAGCTCCCCGTGTTACCGCACAGCTCCAGGCCTGGTCACAGAGCAGCCTTCCCCACAGCCTCTCCTGGCCTTCCTGCTTTGCTTTTGATGACACCCTCCCTATTTTGTTTAAAATTTAGAGTACAGAAAAAGAGAAAAACATGCCGAACCCCTACAAATGTCACTCCCAGAACTCAGCTATGCCACATTGCCTCTGATGACGTATATATACACCTCTGATGACAACAGCCATGGCTGACCAACTCGAAGTCCCTCGCCCCTCCCCAGCAGACTCCATACATGAGTTTAATTTTCCTCTTCCTGCCCAGTCTGTGTGGTTGCCCAGCCTGTGTGGTCACTGACTCTTCTAAATACTCAGTCTTCCCAAACCCATACCTTTGCTGGGATGCTCCTGTCACATCTGGGCTTCATACCCCATTCCACTGGGGAGACTGTTCCCCTGGCCTCTCTAATTTTCTTCATCCTGGGAACTGATCAGGACTCATCCTGACGCCCTGTACGAAGTCGCTGCCTCCTCGAGGGCCTGCACCAGTTGTGGGATCACTTCTACCACTTGCTTCTCTTTGTCCATCTTCCACACGTCTGTTCCTACGTCCATACACAAGTCACCTCCACTCTATCTCTTGTTTCCTTGACCATAAAAGGACTCAAATTGTAAAGGAAGACCCCTCTCACTTCTAAAATTCCTCAGATTCCAGCATCACCCTCTTACTCTCTACCCTCATCTTTGGGTGATTTCATCATTCCCTGTGGCTTCAGCTGCCGCCAGTGCTGACAGGCCCCCAGATTCTGCCACCAGCACTTCTGGCACTCCACATACCTGTGCCATAACCCGTGAGTTGACAGGCCTGTGACTGCTTCTCCTGTCTTTTCCACTCTGTCACCACCTCCTCAGCCTAAATTCATACCCTTGCCATCTCTTAACCTCCTGAAGGCTGCCTACTGACCCTGCTGATCTCCTCTCACTACCAACATGTCTTCTCTGAAACAAATCTGACTAGCCCACTTCCACGATTCCTGCATTTTCCCATCACCTTGGGGAGTTTTTCCCAGAGCTGGCCACATTTATTTTTCCCATAGGCCCAGCACACAGAGGGGCTGCTCTTTATGCTGTCAAGGGAGTGGGTTCCTGAGTGAGAGTCTGTCATTATGAATCTCAGTGCCCCAAACTGAGAGACATGCAAGAGGCATTTTGCCCTAAGCAGGCAATAAAATAAACATTTGCTCAATCTGGTTTGCTATACACAACAACTTAGCATATTCTTGATTTTTTTATTTCTTTTTGTAATGTGTTCCTATTTCTGTTTTGTTTTGTTGTTTTGTTTTGTTTTGTTTTTTTCCGTAATTAGGGTTTGAATACCGGCTCCGAGAAATATGCAAGGACTTACTGGGTCCGGTTCACTACTCCACTGGAAGCCAGTGGGAGTCAACGGTAGTGGTAGGTGCTGCTTTCGTTCTTGCCACAAGAATTCTGTCTTGAAAAGTGAAAGTGGAGATGAAAAATAAGCCAAAGTGCTTTGGAATTCTTCCCCATTAGACTTCTTGAGCACACTGCCACAGGCCCCAGGATCAGTGGGAGGGTGAAATGCCAGCAGTGTACTGCCAGGCAGCAGCTGGGCCCTCGGCATCAAGGACCCAGGGAGTGCTCAGCCACGCATGCACCTGAGGAGAGTTGCCTGCTGGGGTTACGGGTTTGTTCGGTAGAGAAGGTGAGAGATCCTTCCCTGCCTTCGTGGAGCTCCCAGTCTGATAGGAAGGCAGACAAAAGCAAGGAAGCAATTCAGTCAACAAGATAGTTTTAGACTATGGATTATACTATGCCCAGAAATAAGCAGAGCAATCAGACAAGGGTGCCTGGGAATGCATGGCCAGGGAAGACATGAGAGGGGTCTTTTAGGATGAAACCCAGGGATGAGAATGCACCAGCTCTACCAGGACCTGGGAGTCTCCTGGTAGAGGTGATAGTGAATGCAAACATGGAGGCCACTGTGGCTGCAGCATAGTAGGCAAAGGACGGGGTGGTAGAAAATGAGGTAAGACAGAGGAGCAGGAAGATGATCAGTGAGATCTTGTGAGGAGCTGGAGCTTTTGGAGGAGCTGGTGGCAAGAGATCGATTAGCAGGGGTGGTAATGCGAACTGACGTAGGAGGGCAGTCAGAACTTGTTTTTGTAGCGGTCCTGGCAATAGACGAAGGTGACTTGGATCAGTGTGAGGGCCATGGAGAGGGGAAAGGAGACAGATTCAAGTTGTATTTTAGAGGCAGACCCAACAAGACTTGGTGGGTGGATGGGTAGAATAGATTAAGAGACAGAGAATAATGAACATGCATGCAGTCACCTCCAAATTTTTTGGCTTGCACATGTGCCTGCTAGTGCCTTGAAAGGACCAGTTTGGTGAGGGATTGGGGGTTGTGGATATAAGTTAGCTCCCCTGCTTCATGCAGTCACTGAGCAAATACTGATGGAGCACCTGCTCTGGCTCGGCATGGGACAGTGAGCAGTGAACAAAGCTAACGGCCCCCACCTTCCTAGGTCTCCATTCTTGTGCAGAGAGGTGGATTCTAAACAGCTGAGCAAGTACATGTATTGTGTTGGGTGAGGGTGGGTGCTGAGAACAAACATAAAGTGGCCAGGGGCATACTGGCAGGATGCTATTTTATATTGAGTAATCAAGGAAGTCTTAACTAACTGAGCAGAGACCAGAAAAGGTGAAGGGCAAAGCCCCACAGATGTTTGGGGGAAGAACATCCAGGCAGTGGGAACAGCAAGTCTAAAGGCCCAAGGTGGAAGGGCCTGCCGTGTGGAAGGAATAGCCAAGCAGAATGGCAGTGGGAGGGTGAAACGGGTTGCAGTCAGAAAGGCTGGAGGTCAGACCTCACAAGCTCTACAGGCCTTGGTGTGTGATTGGCCTGTGTGTTTTATTTGATTTTTATTTTGTAGCAGTGGATCTTAATTTGGTTGGTTACTAGAATCCTAACTTCAAAGTCCAATTCCCCTTCCTTACATCTTTGAAGGTATGGCACCACAGACTTTTAACATCCACTGTTGCTAAAATCTCTGCTGCAAATCTGATTTCCATTGCTGTGTAAGTTCTTTTGGCTCCCTCTCTTGTTTTGAAGTTTCACAAACCTGAAAGTCTGTTTCTTTCATTCATTCTGTGGATCTGCCTTGGTTCTCTTCCTCAGTGATATCTTCCCTTCCATTTTCCACATCTTCAGAGAGATGTAATGTCCTCTCTTTTTAAAATCTGCTGTATCATTTTTTATGGTTGCAGTTCTCCCCCCATATTTTCAACTTAGTCTTTTATCTGCTTGAGCATAGTAACCTTAGTTGTTTTAAAGTTGTATGTCTGATAGTTCTACTATTGGGAGCCCTCTTGGATCTGTTTCAATTGCCTATAAATGTCTCTGCCGGGTCTCATTTATATTATCTTGTTTCCTTACATGCCTGATTATTTCTATCCGCTGGGCATGTTTGAAAAATTATTTGTAGAAATGGTTTGAGGCCTCAGGTGATGTTACCTTCTTTTACAGAGTGCTTTTATTTGCTGTTGCCAGTTCTTGAGGCACCACCAGCACTGCAGACTCCCCTCAGCCCAGTTCTGGGATTGAGGTTTTCTGGGCTGTCTCATGATTCAAAGCCAGACACTCATTTGTGCAGGGGCGGATTTATTTCTGGTTTACCTTTATTCTGGGTTACATCCCTTTGGGGTGTCAGCACAAAGAGGGATGACTTAACAGGAATCCCCACTTTTCATTTTGGCCCCTGCTTTTGTCTCCCTAGGCCCACAAGTCTGACAGAAGCTCGCTCAGCCTTTTTCTCATCAATAAACATTCCCAAGGCAAAGGCATCCCTCTCTGAATTTCTACCTTCCCCACATCCCAGCTCAACTCTAGGTCATTAGCACATTAGCTCCCTGAGGTCCATTTCTATTTGTGTACCTTCGTCCCATGACCTCAACAGGAAGGGTGGTTCCAAATTACCAGTAATTCCCTAGCACATGTCAGCTCTGGGGTACCCTGACAGGATGTCTTCTTGGGTGGGAGATAGGTCAGCATGTGCCTGACTAACCTCTTCCCCAGCCAGGTTGTAGAGCCTCATTCTGTGATCCAGCTGCCACTCTGAGAGCATTATTAGCCCAAGACATGAGCTGGAGTTCTACATAGCAGCTTTCTGTCTCAGACTGAAGGCAGGGGTGCTAGGCCAATAAGGTGCAGATGAAGGGAGGCACAGACAGGCCACCATTTATTAGCCATGTGCTCTTTTCTCCCTCTCCTTCCTGCCACTTATTCTTACCAGCTCTGAGCAGGACACCTCGTTGGAGCT